TCTTCTCTTCCCCCCCCCCCCCCCCCCCTCCCCTCCTTTTTCTCACCTGGTATGAGCATGTCATGATTGCATGAAGGTTGGGTACTTCCCTCGTCCAGGTATAGACCAGATCATCCTGACACTAAAATCCTCCCCGAAGCAGACTTCTTTATCATACTAAAGGTTTAGTTTAGTTTTAGTAAGAGGTTTACGGCATTTGCAACACAATTAGATTATATAAATGTCGATTATTAAAGGTGTTACTAGATCTAAAGGGTAACATACAAAGAGAAGAAGGAGGAGAGATAAGGGGGATAGATAATGGAAGGAAAGAAAGAGCTAGCCACACCACAGCACCCGCCAACCACCCACTCACAAACGATTGATACGGTTCTTCAAAACTCTTAAGCCTGTATCGTAGAGGGGAGTGTAGGAACAAAATAATTATTAGCTAGGCGTTCAGATGTGGTGAGTCCAATCTTTTTTTAAAAGCTGTTTTTTAAAAATCTGTGGTATCGCTTGCGTGTGCTCAAGAAAAATTTATTTTAACAAAATTCAAATTCTTAATATGGAATCAAAGCAAGACATACACAATGTATGCTTAAAGTAAAGCAATGAAGAGGTATTTTTCTCTCTTCTGACAAAAAAAATGCTTTGAGGACAAAGTATATCTAACCAGCTTACCAAGGAAATGCTTTAGAAAAGTGACATACACCCTTCCCCTCCTTTCTACTCCCCCCAAAAAAACAAACCAAAAACAAAAGAACAACAACACAAAAACAACATAACAAAAAAAAACAAAACAAATAAAACAACAACCCCAAAACTGCTGTGGATGATCTGCCGTTGTTTCTTCTTTTGTTTCTTAAATCTTTGAGGTCGTAGCGGACACGTATTATCCGATCAGCAGCAGACCAAAGACAATATTTCGGTACATTTCGAAACATCTTACACAAATCGAAAAAAAACCCTCCAACCAAACAAAATAGAAAGTGAAACAAAAACAAAAACAACCCAAACCCCAAATTTTTATAAACCAGTCACATCAGCGTATCTACAGACGAAAACAGCAAACTCTCACCAGTCTGAGACAAGACCACAACATGCAACTATGTAGCCAAGTAGCTATGTAGCCATGTTGCCATGTAGCCGTGTAGCCATAAGGCAGTGTAGCCATGTGGCCATGTAGACATGTGGCTGTGTAGCTATGGGGCTGTGTTGCCATGTAGCTGCGTGGCTGCGTAGCCATGCAGCCATGCAGCCATGCAGCCATGCGGCCATGCAGCCGTGTAGCCATGTTGCTGTCTAGCCATCATGTAGTCATGTGTAGTCATGTAGTCAGGTGTAGTCATGTAGCCATATGGCCATGTAGCCATGCATTCTAGTTTACAATGAGAACATTGACGTCTGCTTCAGTACTGAATCGAACCTCCAACCACAACAAAAGAAGTTTCTCGTCTCGCTAGGAGACCTCGTCGCCTGAATGCCTTATATGAAACCGGTTAGAAAAAAACCATTGCTGAGTAGATCTAGTTTTGTGGTTCACAAAATATCTATACTGTTGTTTTTGTTGTTGTTGCTCTTGACGCCCCCCTCCTACATCCCTTTGCACCCCCCCCCCCCCAAAAAAAAATAAATAAATAAAAAAATAAAAATAATAAATTAAAAAATTCCCACATCCCCTCCTCACACACACACACACACACACAGACTTCTTCATGTTAGGCAAAAGGCGAACCCAAAAATATTCCATATAGAATTTTTTAAAAAATAGTTCGGACCATTCTCGTCGGAACTGAACCGCAAACTTAGAAGAAGTAGGCTAGGCAATGCTGCCACATACTGCATCACAACGACCAGTATTTGTGGATCAAAGTATTTGTCGGAAAACAAACTTCCTCAACAAAAGATGATTTAACATGTCCCATTTACATTTTTTTCAACAACATTTACCTCATCAAACAGCATTCAGTCCCCACTAAAGTCTACAATAGAAACGAATATCTAAAGCTTATCTACAGGGATTGCAATTAATAATAATTTAGGCTATCAATACAATTCATAAGCGATCGATCTATTCTTTGTTTGCGTTTACAGAAATCAACACCGGGGCATGGACAGGTAAGAAATGTAACAGCAAGGGGCTTGTACGATCAATAATAATATGGTTTAAAACACTTCGTTCATATAATGATAAATCGCTACCATAAAAGACGAACCGGCGTCTGCGGCGTAGTGGTTAGGCGCTTAGATTCCCTCTCGCACGCAGGAGACCTGAGTTCAATTCTCGAGCTGGGAGAATTTTTATAGAGTATCTCAGTCCTTCTGCTGGATGGGACGTTGTGTCCGTCTCAGCCTGGGTTGGCCCTGATTGGCACAATAAGAAGCCTGCCCTCTAAACTAAATGATCTAAATTGTATCAATGGGGTAATCATAATAGAACAAGCAGCATAACCCTTTCCTCCAGGCCGGAAAAAGGGGAAAATATTTTTTTTAAACAAACAAAAGCTAAAACAGAAGAAGTAAAAGAAGAAGAAAAAGAAAGCAAATGTCATTGTCAACAACAACAACAGCAACAGCAACAACAACAACAACAACAACAACAACAACAACAACAACAACAACAACAATAGCCAACAACAGAAGAAAAAACATAATTTGATTTGTTCTTACAACTCACAGAGGTGACTTAACCGCCGATCTCATGAAGAAAAAGCAGCCACTACAAGCATGTCCATCCACTAGGAACCTCGGATAAACTCAATCGCCGGATTAGAGATCGTCTCTAGATCTAGTAGGTCCAAATGTAACCACTACCCGCACCGTAGTTCAAGCCTTTCAGTTTTGTTTCTTTTCCAGCACTAAATGATCGTCACCGAGCGTCTCTCTAAGCTTTCCTTTAATCCGGAGTTCCTCTGTTCTGGCTCGGATATCCATAATAAATTATGCTTTTTTAATACACCCAGAAGTACACTATCGTCACAGACCGTCTCTCTCAAGTTTTCTACAAGCCAAGAAGAACACATTGTGCTTCATTAACGTATGGATATATCGCGAAGCTCGTCCAAAAAGCGTAATCATGTTGGAACTGTGATAACCCACACCTTACGTTATACTGATAGCCTAGGGTCAAAGACACTTGACTCTCACACTTCATTATCATTGACAATCAGGATCGCTCGAACGATACGAATTAGGTATCGACTCCGAGTATTCCAACAAGCGTATTTTTTCAAAGCACCATGCATTGTGCTTTTGGCTACCTTTCGCACAGCGTTGGACATTTTAGTTCTGATCTTGTCAGGGTTTATTAAGTTGTGTATGTTTGAATTCGTTTCTTGGATCATCGAGGGAATATTTTATAGCCCATTTCAAAAGAGAAAACCATGCTCAGTTCCTTTTTACCTGAAAAATATTTGTCCCCACTACGAACTATAAGTGTGTTAACAAAGATCTCGTCCACTAGCCACTAACCAACCACACCCTTTGCATCAGATTCCTCGCTGCACAGATATTAGTTTCAGGCTATTGTACAATAATATTAATAAAACATTAACTCAAAATTCATATCTTAGACTCTTAGTCTTTCCCGCGTCGAACACTATTGGTAAAATTGTCTTTTCTTGTATCTAAGAGAGAGAGAGAGAGAGAGAGAGAGAGAGAGAGAGAGAGAGAGAGAGAGAGAGAGAGAGAGAGAGAGAGAGAGAGTGAGTACAATGATGGTGACGATGATGATGGTGATTT